CATGCCACTGACTGAACCCTATTTGTACTTTCTTTTTTATTTTTTTGGAGAGGTTTTTTGCTATAGGGTACGTGTGCTTACCAGAAAGGCAGAGAGAGACAGAGAGACATAAAGCAAGAAATCACTCCCCAGGGGGGATGGCCATGCCGCAATCCTTTCTCCTCTCGGGATCTTGGGCACGCACGCACACGCGCCCGGTGTGAGTTTTAAGCCACCGGGTCTGGGATGCGAACCACAGTCGACTACGTGGGAGTCCAGGGACATAGCCATTATGCTAACTGCTGGTCCCCTCCTTTACATTTTTTTTAAAGGGAGAGATTTTGCTATAGGGTCCATGTGCTCACTGGAGAGACAGAGAGACAGAAGGCAAGAAATTACCCCCTGGGGGGATGGCCACACCATTATCCCTTGTCCTCTCGGGATTTTGGATACACACATAGATGCACACGCACTCAGTGTGTTTTAAGCCTCCAGGTTCAGGACTTGAACCACAATCGACTATGTGAGAGTCCAGCACCTTAACCACTATGCCACCTCTGGTCCCGATTTATACCTTCTTTACAACTGACACCTGATTGGAACCCAGGTGCAAAACAAAGTTGGTAGCAGACACCTTTGTGATCAGGATGTCCCTTCTGCATTTACAATGTGTAGAAGCTGTTGCCATAAGAGGATGAATAGGATGCTGCTGCTCCCTTCCCCAAGCCTATGTTTAGGCTGGAGGACCAGAAGGCACATCTCAATCCTGGGATACTTCAAAACTCTTCAGCCTTCCACAATTCTAATTAGGACCATAATCTAAGATCTCTAACTTGTTTTCATGTTTTAGCTCCCATGCTCAAAGATCTATATCCCTTTGTCTGAAATCCAAGGTTATACATAATCCAACCTCATTAAACCATCTTAACTTTGTTAATACTTCTCTGTACCAATCTTCTTTTCTTAGAAGGGCTAAATTATAGGGGCCAGCAAGGGCTGTGGTGGTTAAGACACTGGACTCCCACACGGGCAGACACAGTTTAAATCCTGGGCCTGGCAGCTTGAAAATTATGCCAGGTTCATGTGTATGTAAGCCCAGAATCATGAGAGGAGACTGGAGAAGGAAATGCAGTGTGGCCATCCCTTCTGGGGGGTGATTTTTCTCTGTTTCTATGGTGACAGCAAATGTACCAGGGCAAACATTTCTTAAAAAAAAAAAAGGTGGGCTAAATTAAAACAGGGCTAATGTTTCAGAGTTTTAGCTTTAGCTAAACAGAGTTAGATTTACACTGGACAGGGTCCAGCAGCTGGTATAATGGCTAAGTCGCTGGACTCCCATGTAGTCGACCATGGTTTGAGTCCTGGACCCCGTGGTCTAAACTCACACCGGGCAAATGTGCGTGCGTGTCCAAGATCTCAAGAGAAGAATGGAGGAAAAGGGATTGCGACGTGGCCATCCCCTGGTGGGTGATTTCTTGCTTTCTGTCTCTCTTTCTGGCGAGCACACATGCCCTATAGCAAAAACCTCTCCAAAAAAAAAGATTTCAACTAGACAATATGAGGAGTTTTCAAAAAGCTCATAGAAAGTAAGTATTATGAAAAATTATGCATGGATTTAAAAATTTCTTTGCACCATAATAAACTTATACTTTAATTCCATATTTTCATGAACATTTTGAAGTCCCCTTGTAGTTTAGGCTGTTTTTAAGCAAAACTTTTATAAGATTTACAGAAATGTTTGTAAGATCTTAAAAGTCCTTATTTAGTTTCCTCAAAATGTGTTCTGAATCCAAAAAATACAAAATATTTTTCATAATATGTAAATGTGAACGAATAATTATAAATGTCACTGGCACAGTAACACTCTATCTTTGTATGGGGGTTGAATTGTATAGGTGTATGGATTTGTCAAAACCAGCAAAAAATACAATTAAGAGTTGCAAAGGATATACGTTTTTACACCAAAATCACAGTAAACAAACCCTAGTCACCAAAGTATTTGCAGGGAAGAGCAATAATACTTGCAATTTTTTTTTTTTTTTGGAGAGGTTTTTACTATAGGGTATGTTCATGTGCCAGAAAGTCAGAGAGAGCCAGAGAAAGCAAGAAATCACTCCCCAGGGGGATGGCCACGCTGTAATCCCTTCTCCTACATTCTCCTCTCGGGATCTTGGGCATGCATGCATATGTGCCCAGGGTGAGTTTAAGCCACCAGGTCTGGAACCTGAACCATGGTCACTACGTGGGAGTCCAGCAACATAGTCATTGTAGCAACTGCTGGTCCCTGCAATTTTTTTATAAAGAGGTTTCTTTCTTTCTTTCTTTCTTTTTTTTTTTTTTTTTTTAAATTTTTTTGCCTTAGGGCACCAGGGAGAGTGAGATAGACAATGAGAGGGAAAATGAGAAATCACTCCCCAGGGGAGACGGCCATGCTGCAATCCCATCTCCTTTATTTTCCTCCTGGGATCTTGGACACTCACACACACACACACACACACACACACACACACAGCCCTGGAGTGATTTTGAAACCACCAGGTCCAGGACTCGAACTGTGGTTGGCCATATGGGAGTCCAGTGATGGAACCACTCCTCTACCTGCTGGTCCCATAATTTCTTTTTTTAAGTAATTTTTCCCATAGGGCATGTTAAACCTTCAGAGAGAGAGAGATAGTAAGAAGGAAAGTGAGAAGTCACCCCACATAGAGTCACCCCACATAGAGTCCAGCCACACCACAATCCCTTCTCCTTTCTCTTCCTGGGATTTTGGGCTTGCAAAGACACCCAGTGATTTTCAGCGGTCAGGGACTCAAACTATGATCAGCCACATGGGAGTCCTTAACCACTACATCACCTGCTGGCCCTCCCATACCTGCTATTTAAATGGATGCATAGATATGAACAAAGTTAAATTAAAATGTTAACCGTAGGATATAGGTGGTGGATGTACGTGAGTTCCTCATAAAGTTCTTTAGATTTTGCTGCATTTTGAAAATAAACCTTTGAGAAAATGACATTGATAATACGCTGTACTTGTTCCCTGTAGTAATTAATATACTTTATAAGGTTCTGTTACACCTAGTGGCAATACCAAACGTTTGATCCTTGGTGCCTCCAAAGCGCTTTGTACACACCTGTTATGGCATGGCTCTCTCCCACCATGTTATAAATCCTTGGTATACACAAATCTAATCTGTATTTTTATTCCTATTGCTTTTTTTCATGTTTGGAGGACAACAGGCATTGAACAATGATGAAATGATCGAATGAAAGTGGATTATTGCTGGTGCCAGCAGGTGGCATGGTGGTTATAGTGCTGGACTCCCACATGGTCCACTGTAGTTCAAGTACAGAACCAGGAGGCTTGCTTTCTCACTTTCCCTCTCCCTCTCTTTTTCCTCTTTCTCTCTCTCTGATAAGCACATCTGCCCTGCAGCAAATTAAAAAAATAATGGTGATAAATAAAATTAAATAAAAAAAGAAAGACAATTGTTAAGGACCACAGATGTATACTCTTGGCACTTTCACTGTTCATTTCCCAAAGATTGCCAAAGTTAATACATTCAATTTGTAAGAAAAAAGTGTCCTTTACTTCTCCTAAGCATAGAAGTTTCCAAAAATAAGATCTAAAAAGCAATTCATCTGTACCCAGGAAGTCATTTTATTTTTTATTCCTTAAACTAGAAGCCTGAAAGCCTCTTAACATTCAGTGACTTCTTAGACAGTTTCTTCTAAAAGAGCTAAGTCTCAGAATTCCAGGGTAGCCTAGAATTCGTTCTATTCAAATCTCAGACAAGTTGTCAGAACTAACTGGTCAAAAACAGGAAACTGAAAATCTGGGAAGATAAAAAAATAAAGGCCACGTAAAAAAGTCATGGAGCTAATTAATCAAGAACGTTACCCAAAACCCGAAGTCCTGAGGGCTGGCACCAC